GGTGAGAAGTAGTTGCCCACAGTGTTCCAGGTGGGCTGCTGGGTATGGAGTATAGATAGATCTCCATGAGATCTATCATTGCTAGAGGCTATTCCAAATAAGAGGGGGTGTGGTGATTCCAATTAAGCAAATCAGTGGTGGTAAAGCGTTGATAGTAGAGGGGTGCTCTGCCTTCCATAATAGCCCCATATGCACCTATCTGGGGAGCTTCTCAGGTCTCCCAGAGGGGCATCTGAAGAGTAAGATTGCCCCAGGCTGCAGTGGCTGGCCAGGTAATGGATTTGGGACGCTAGTGGCCTCCCTCCTGAGCAGGCGGAGATGGTGCTCATCCCTTGGGCTGCTCTTTAGGCTCCAAGAAAACAGATGGGGGCAGGGTTTCGATCACTGGCTCGGGCATATGAGAGTGGGCATATGAGAGTGGAGCTGCTAATGGCTCCTCTTGTGGAGGGCCCTGCAGGATGGGAGCTATGGGTTTCTTTTGGTAAGAGGCAGGTGCAGGTGGCATGACATGGGCGACCAAAATAGTACCTCGGTTCCTCCCCTTTTTGCAGAATTGTACCCTTGGTGAGGTGGCTTGGGCCACCTGTAGTCAGGAGTCAGTATTGGGAAACCGTTTGGGGTGGCCTGAGGTGCCAGTAACCACATTGTACATAGCTCACACAGAAGGGAGATGTAAAGTTCCCTCCGGCAGCCATCCCACTTGAAAAGGCCATTCAACCTCACAACAAGCTCTCCACTTTTCCAGTTTCATTTTGACCCCATAGTCACCTAAGATGCCTGTGTTGAAATTCCTTGTCACACAATCTAGCACTGTCAGCTTGGATGACTGGGATTGGGGTTTTCCCATGGTGGCGCCAGGCGGCGTAGCCCCAATATCTCTGATCTCTCCAAATATCAAAGACCTGTACTTTCCAGAGGGCTCGGGAGATCACAGGCTGGAGGAAATAAATAACGAGATTTTGGAGAGACAAGGGCTTCTGGGATTGGGCTTTAGCACAGAGGCTAAAGAGTTGAGCAGTCTTTTGAGGCTACTGCTGGAAAGGCCAGGTAGTATATTGGGTTAGGATATTCAAGTCTTCAGGAGGGCCTCAGCTGAGGGCTGCAATAGATTGTGGGGTCTCCCTCTGAGGTCCATCCTCTCATACCTCAATGGTGGATACCCTGGCACCAGATTGGCGTATCTTTGAGGAGGGTGGCAAATGGCATGGAGGAGAATGAAAGTATGGAAATCCACCGAGGTAATTGAAGAAGGAAGACTGTCTAGGTAGTAGGTGATGCCTGCCTTCTCCTTTCCCAGACAGAGTGGGCAGGGTTCGCTCCACAGTGGAAGTCTTTGTAGGAGAGTCAGGAAGGCTCTGGGAGGACGTTTTTAATCACAATTGAGAGGAGCTCATGTCCCAGCTATCGGGGACAAAGCTGGCGACCTGAAATTCACTACTCTGACTATCTACCTCTACAGGGAAAGCTCTCCCATCAGCCTGTGTCCCCCATCTCATGAACGGTGTCACAAACAAAGGGTGGGTGCCCCCCAGGGAGCTAGTCAGGCATCTGTCTGGCCATGTCCATCACAGGCTTTAGGTCATTCCTTGGCAATAAGCAATCAGATACAGAACCTCCACTGGATTGAATGCACAGGGAAGGACTGGATCCCCTAGCGTCAATTCTGCCGTTTAGCTTTTTTACGGAACCATCACTGAAATGCAGGAAACAGATCAAATCATGCTCCATAGTGGAGCCACAGACACATTCGCTTGTCACAAACACTCACGTTCATTCAGAGGTTATACCGTCCCTCCCCATACCAGCCAATACCCCTGATAAGCCCTAACTGCCAGTCCTACAACTGAAGGAGAGTGATCAGGTCTCCTCATCTACTCAATCCGAGTAGGGCTGTCTGACTAGGGCTCTACAGATCCCTGGGGGCTTACCAGATTATCAGAGCTGGCCACGGTTGATGCATCAGGGTCCAGGAGTTGGTCCCTCTCTCCAATTGGAGTCCAATGATCCAGGAATGCTCAACCTCAGGGCGGGCACCCCAGCTGAGGGATCCCATCAAAAGAGACCAGGGAGTGCCTATTTCTCCAGACCATAGTGCCCATCTCAGGGAGAAAATACCCTGGGATCAGTGGCTCAAAGGGCCAGTCTGATTTCATTTCCCGGCCAATGCATCAAAATGTTGCAGAAAAACAGATGCCGAGAAGTGAAAAGTGGCACTCAGGAGAGAAAGGAGAACTCTTTATTATGTCGGCAGGCACAAAGGAGTTCACACTTGGAATCTCCAGCCCTGTGGGGAGTTGGACTCAGTCTTTTTGTTGTTGTTGTTTAAATAACTATTTTATTATTTATTTATTCATTCATTGATTTTTAATTTGACCAGAGAGAGACAGAGGGTGAGAGTGAGAGAGAGAGGAAGTGAGAAAGCAAGCCACCAGGTCCAGGACTCGAACCCTGGTAGGCCATGTGGGAATGTCCAACGCCTTAACCACCACACCACCTGCTGGTCCCTGTACTCAGTCTTTTGGGGGGAGTTGCAGGAGGGGGTGTCTCAGCCTGCTAGGGGCATCCTATGGGGAGGCGGAAGGAGCTCAGGATTTGCCCTAAAAAGGAAAGTGGCAGAGAAGCAGGGAGTTTTAATTTCTCAAGGTCTCAGGTTACTTTTATTGCTCAAAATGGAGGGACAGTGAGTTCACAGAGGAATGAGAAGTTTCAGCAATTATTGGCCTTGGGTTACTCATGAGTTCTGGGCCTCTCCATATCAATATCTACTAGGGATAATATCTTAAATTCCAAGCAATGCTGCTTAGTAGTTAAAATATGATAATGTGGATATACATGTAATTTTCTAAAATTATTAGTTTATTTTGGGCCAGTAAGTGGTATAACAGTTAAGGCACTAGACTCCTGCATGGTGGACCACAATTCAGGTCCCAGACCCAGTAATTTGAAACTCACACCAGGCACATGTGTGTGCATGCCTAAAATCATGAGAGGAGACTGTAAGAGAAGGAACTGCAGTGTGGCCATCCCCCGGAAGGTGATTTCCCACTTTCTGTCTCTCTAGTAAGCTCATGTGCCCTATAGCAAAAATCTATTTTTTTAAAAAAAATTTATTTACTTTTATTTATTTATTTTAAAAATTTGACCAGAGAGAGAGAATGGGAAAGTAAGAAAGCAAGCTGCCAGGTCTGGAACCTGAACTGTGGCCAACCGTGTGCGAGTCCAGCACCGTAACCACCATGACACCTGCTGGCCCTGATATCCATGTAATTAAAGACTTATAAAAGTTTGTGTGTGCGTGTGGGGGGGACAAACCTACAATGCAGTGGTTAAGTGGTATACATTAGGACCAGATTCCACATGGCCAATAGCAGTTTGAGTCCCAGCCCTGGCACCTTGAGAAACTTGCCATGCCTGTGTGCATGTGCACCCAGGATCCTGAAGGGATGGAGAGATGGAAGAAGGGAGATCATGGCATGATCGTAGCCCATTGAAAGGTGCTTTCTCTCTCTCCCTCTCTCTCGGGTGAACATATACACCCTCTGACAATTGAAAAAAAGTTTATATTTTTTTCCATAAAGATAATCACAAATACCAAAGGAAAGGATGGGGAATAGCAATGGCTCCTCAGCTGCAGGAGAGGTTGCACTTACAGTTTGGGGCACCTGCACCCCTGCTGACCTCTCTAGAGTCCTTATCAAGCTGTGACTGGGTCTGTGAGGGAATGAACTGAATCTATTTTGTAAGGACTAATGCCATCTTGGGGTCCTTTGTTCTCCTTGGCCCATACTGTGATATTTGCTAGCTCTGAGCAGGGATCTTTCTGTTTAAGATAAAGACCTAGGTCCCTCACCAATACAACTGGCCTTCTTCTTCTTCTTTTTTTTTTTTTCCTTTTTTTGGAGAGGGTTTTGCTATAGGGCACATGCGCTCGCCAGAAAGAGACAGACAGAGAGACAGAAAGTGAGAAATCACCCCCCGGGGGGGATGGCCATGCCGCAATCCCTTTTCCTCCATTCTCCTTTCGGGATCTTGGGCACGCATGCACACGTGCCCGGCGTGAGTTTAAGCCACCGGGACCAGGACTCAAACCGTGGTCGACTACATGGGAGTCCGGCGACATAGCCATTACGCTAACTGCTGGCCCCACAACTGGCCTTCATTAGGAAAAGATGAATAATTTTTGAGAACCTGAGGGCAATCACATCTCCAAACCAGGTGATTTGCTTCCTCCTGGCTTGCTTCTGTTATTTGGCCCCTTTGCTTTCCATTTAAAAACTCCAATAGTGGGGCCAGCAGGTGGCATGTTGGTTAAGGTGCTAGACTCCCACATGGTTCGAGTCCCAGACCTGCAGGCTTGAAAATCATATTGAGCACATGTGCATGCATGCCCAAAATCCCAGGAGGAGAATGAAAGAGAAGGGTTTGTAGCGTGGCCATCCCCCTGTGTGTGTGTGTGGAGGGGGCGATTTCTCACTTTCCCTCTTACTGTCTATCTCCTACGATTACACACGCCCTATGGCGAAAACCTAACAACAGAAAACCCACAAAACCTCTAGCAGCCAGTAATGTTGAGAAGGAAGGAGAGACAGATCTTGTGAAGGAAATGAAAGAGTGAAACTGACTCAGGAAAAGTTCTAGGAGGGAGGAGAAGGTGGTGCGGAGAGGGAATTACGCATTCACATCTCGGGCCTTCCTAAAACTGTTACCAGCCATCCTAGAGAATGCTGCTAGCCCAGTCCTGATCCCAGCCTGCTGCTCCTCTTGCCCTGCTACTTCCACTCTGAGCCTTCCCTTACCCACAACCCTGTCCCCGACCTGCTCTGGCTCCTCACTGACCCAGTCCTGATCCTGTTCAGACTTTACTCTGAGTCTCCCCTGACTCTGCCCCGGCCCCCATGTCACTCACACAAGGATAGGGTAGAGTCTGAGGCCATGGCCAATGGCCCAACTTCCTAGAACCCTCCAACTGTCACGGAACTTTCCCACACTCAGCTGCAGACCACACTGAATTCCTGAGCCCTGCCTGTGGGCAGCAGGAGAGACCCAGAAACAGAAGGGTCAAAAAGATGTAAATACTGAACGGAGTCTGAACGCTGAATAGAACTACCAGGCTTCCAGGTGGCCACAGCAGTGTCCAGAGGAGAGGCTGAGGCAGTTGGCAGGTAGTAGAGTGTACCTAGGGTGGACTTGCCCTGCACTTCCACATGTCCCAGGGTCCTCAGTCTGACCCCCAGAGCTCTCAGTCAGATGTCCCTCCAGTTGTTCTCAATAACACCCAAGACCCTCTATCTGCTATCTACAGTCGCCAGATCAGTAGCCAAGAGCCTGTGCCAATTATCCACTATCGCGGGGTTGGTATCCAAGAGCCTGTGCCAATTATCCACAGTCGCCGGGTCAGTATCCAAGATCCTGTGCCAATTATCCACAGTCGCCGGGTCAGTATCCAAGCATCTCCTCCATCTCTCAGTAGTCGCCTTGAAAGTATTCAAGAGCCTCCTCCAGCTCTCAGCGGCCGCAGGGTCAGTATCCAAGAGCCTCCTCCAGGTCTCAGCAGCCGCAGGGTCAGTATCCAAGAACCTTCAGTTCTCAGCGGCCGCAGGGTCAGTATCCAAGAGCCTCCTCCAGGTCTCAGCAGCCGCAGGGTCAGTATCCAAGAACCTTCAGTTCTCAGCGGCCGCAGGGTCAGTATCCAAGAGCCTCCTCCAGGTCTCAGCGGCCGTAGGGTCAGTATCCAAGAGCCTCAAGTTCTCAGCGGCCGCAGGGTCAGTATCCAAGAGCCTCCACCTCTCAGCGG